AAAAAATAAAAAAACATAGAAAATAAAAAAAATATATTAAAAATGAATATATATGTATATATATATAAACCGATCGTTCAAATCGTAATCGGCAGTTTTTAAACCATAACTAAAATCATCAAACTGTAGTTTGAACCGTTTGGGCAAGTATATTGGGCAAATCTAGTGTCAGCCATAATATTTTTTACTTTGATCTTATCATTTTGCCGATGTTTGTACATATTTGCTTTATATTAAGAGTAAAATATGACTTTACACTCAAATTTCGCACCAAACAAACTTTTAGAATATAATATTAAGATCATTTATGTTTCTTGTCAGATTTAATAATATAATATCAAAATTATTCTCTTCGTAGTTTCTTTTTTCAAATTTAATAATATAATATCAAATTTTTTCTATTTGTAGTGTATGAATTGTTTTTATTTTATTTTCCTTGTTTCTATAGAAAATATGTGATATTCGATTGTATAAAAGAATACAAATAATGTGTATATATAAAGTATGGACGGGGCTAGTCTGTCAAAGACTATTACTGTATATATATATTATAATAATTATCATCCTTATCATCAATATTGAAATTATAATATAAATTAATTTATATTTATCCAACTAAAAATATAAATAATATAACTAAAAATAATAATATTATATATATATTTAATATTTATCCTTTATGGGTAGTTATTTATTTAAAATTCTTCGATTATAATTGTTATACAAAATAGAAATATAATTTATTTCATAATATTAATTTTTTATTCTCATTAATATTATAAAAATTGATATTTTCTTGCAGTGGTGTACCACAATAATTGAAATTTTCCCTCCTTCGTGCAGCCAATCGCTCTTATTTCCCCTTAAATACATTCATATTCATTGAGATTTCTAAATTTGCACTGACATTATTGTATTTTCGGAGTCTAATTATAAAATAAAATATATAATGTATGAATTATAATGTGACAAATTTATTGAAATACAATCCAAAATAGGTACGTAGAATTTAAATAAAACCATAATATATAAATATATGTGTTTAAATAGATATTCATTCAATCAATATTAGTTACAAATTTATAGAAAAATTGCAATAGAAAATTAGATACGTAGACTTTAAATACTACCATGATTATATATATCTTCTATCAATATTAGTTTACTTACTATTTCAATTATACCTATAAAATTGATAAAATTTGATATTATTAATTTATATTACTTTTGTAAAAAAAATATAATTATATTCAGAAAATATTACATTATACAAATATTTTACACAAATATAAACTTTATTATATGATTCAATATAATATTAGCAAAATATCGATCTATATATATAAAGGGTTATTCTATCAAATATTCAAAATCGGATATATAAGATACAATATTTTTTTATTAATACTAGTAATAAAATATATTTATAATATTCTTGTTGAGCGAGAAAAACCAATGTGTAGGGTTTTCGAGAATGGACTTGTAAATTGGGTCATGGATTAGTATATAATTCGATGGGTCTGTCAATTGTATTAAGGCCCAACGATCAAGGCGTTACTATTAAATGGGCTTCTTTGAGAGGACCTTCGATTAGGGGGTCGGTTGATACGGAGGTCGGGCAAAGGAAAAGGAGACAGTAGGCGTTTAGGTCGGTTGGTGTGGAGGTCGGACAAAGGGAAATCGGACGAAGGAAGATAACACGGTGGTGTTTAGGCCAGTTGATACGGAGGTCGGACAAGTAGAGCTGTTAAACGAGCCGAGCGAGCTCGAGTATTGGTTGTTCGAACTCGACTCGAACTTGTTAACGGTACAGGCTCGGCTCGGCTCGTTAAGAATTCGAGCCAAAATAGTGCCTCGAGCTCGGCTCGTTAGACTCAAATTCAAGCTCGAGCTCGGCTCGTAAGGCTCGAACTCGAGCTCGAGTTCAAGCTCGATTTGAATTTTATACATATTATGTATATTTTTTAATATATAAATTATATATATTTAATTTTATTCATAATTTTTTATAATAAAATATTTAAATTTTAATAATAAATATAAATTTTGATATAAAATATTATATATATTATATTAATATATAAATAATATAAATATATTATCACTAACGAGCTCAAGTGAGCTACTCGCGAGCCGAGGCTGAGCTCAGCTCGTTTGTAGAAAAGATAATTTTTGAGCTCAAGCTCGGCTTGTTTATCTCTATAAACGAGCCGAGTTGAGCTATTAACGAGCCGAGTCAAGCTTGGCTCGCGAGCTACTCGATTCGTTTAACAGCTCTACGGACAAGTGGAAGTCGGGCGAAGGAAGATGAGGCGGTGGATGTTCAAGTCGGTTGGTTAAATAGGGCGGTTGAATAGCAGTTTTGGAGCGGTTGGAAGATGCTACAACCGATGAGCGGATGTGGAGGCATGGCCTGATAACAACATTGGGGCGGTTGATATGGGTTTTTAAATAAGCCTTTTCCCGACCTGAAAAGAGGCATCTTCAGTCGACATTAAATTCAGTGAATTTTCTTTTGGGGATCATCCTTTTACTTTTCCAGTCCTTAATGTTCTTTTCAATTTCCTTATGTATCGTACGGTGTCTAAGGATTTTCAATTTCATGCATCTTTTTAATCAAATTCAAAAATAATTTCTTTTTCGGATTTTACTTTTTTATTGTTGAAAATCTGCATCAACAATTTGGCGACCACAGTGGGAGTTGATGCAAGATTGCTGATCCTACATCAAGAGAGAATTTTATACAACTGAGATCCGGCCGAATCATCGGAACGATCCATATGGCAGGCCCACAGCCCCAAGTCTCTTCAACACTAGTGGGAGAAACAATTTCACCACCCGCCATGCCGAATGCAGGGGAAGCACTCCAAGCACCTGCCAATTGGGTGTCTTATGTTCAACATTTGAACAATCAGGAAACTTTGCCTATGCAAAACATGTTGTGAGAGCAACAAAACTTCATGCAAAACATGTTAGATCAAACTTTATCAAGGGTTACTAGTCAATCCACTCCATCACCCTCAGGAATGTCACCATCCAGATTACAAGCAAATTTTGCGGGGCTCTCATATGTAGACAGCACCCTCCCAAGTGCCACTACTAGGGTCGATAGAGGAAAGACCCATCTAATATACCCGAACAATTTTCCACTAGGTATCAGGGCCGAGCCAACCTTCCCCAAAGAAGAGAGAATGGGAGGACAGGCTCACAATCCCATTCCTGTTTTGGACCCTATTCCACCCAAAGTGGATCCAGAAGACATCGCTCAAATTTTGCGAGTGTATTTTAGAATGAATCCTCAAACGGTGAACATGCCGGCTTATCAGAGGCCATTTCCAAAAAGAATCATCAATGAGCATCCCCTCCGGAGGAATTATAGGCCACCTGATTTCCACTCATTCTCGGGAGAAGAAGGAGCATCGAACATTGAGCATGTGGGACATTTCACGGCTCAACTAGGGGAAGTAGGCAATAATGCATTTCATAAATTGCAGTTGTTCGGGTTGTCTCTCACAAGAACAACCTTTTCCTGGTTTGCCAATCTTCTGCCAGGACAATTAAAAAATTGGGAAGGTTTGGAAGCGGCTTTTCATGCAAGGTTTTTCAATCCTCTTCCGACAGTCTCACTTACCGACCTTCTCGAGATTAGGCAAATTCCGGAGGAAACCGCCTACCAGTTCATAGTGCGGATACGACTGATGAAAGGACATTGCCCAACAGTCATTAAGGAGAGCGAAATTACCAATTTGGTGGTCAGGAATATGCATACGCGACTGCTAGAGGCTTTGACAGCCCACGATGTTGGAGATTTGGCCAGTTTGGCATCTAAAGCAGGGAGACTAGAATCCCTTTTTAGAGAGAAGGACCACAACTTCTGGCGGAACAAGGTCCAGCAGATGGCCAACGTCGATACAAAGATGTATGCACCAGAAGATGAACAAGGGAAAGGTGCTGAAGAAATGGCGGCTGAGATTGTAAATGGCATGCCTTATGTATGTTCCAAACTGAAACCTCTCCCAGGGGCAGAAGAGCGGGAGCAACCGACATTTGATGCATCCAAAGCAGATGAGATCTTTGATATCCTGCTAGCGGATGGACAAATTCGCATCCCAAAGGGACAACGGTTGGTGAAAAAGGAGGAAATAAAGGGAAGGCCATACTGCAAGTGGCATAACTCCTTTACGCATGACACTAACCAGTGTACACACTTCCAGAAGAAAATTTAGAGAGCCATCAAAGCTGGACGGTTTAAATAAGTGACGATGGGGGTAGAGCAGCAGCCCTTCCCGAAAGTAACTACTGCGGTAATCTCTCTGCACTCTTCACATAACATACAAAGGGACGATGAAAGAGACACTAAACGGAAGGACCGTAAGCCAAAAGAGCGAGAGGATGAGCATAATGACAAGTTCAAGACCTGTGAAACCAGGGTGGCAGAGAAATGGGACAACAAGGATGGCTCTTTCGAAGTGGAGTTGAAAGACAAAGTGGTGGTTCGAGATCGACCAACACGCAAGCCACAACCGGTCCATGACAAATGGAGTTGGAATAGGAAGCCTTTACCCATAGATATAGATCTGCGGTTTCCAAGTATGAATCGTATGCAAATTCGTAATGCCAAATGCAGGTATGCTGCTCGGCATGGGAGACGAGCAGACAAAGGAAAGAAGAAAATGGATGCGCCGCCCAAAAGAAAAGAAAAACAAGAGATCAACCACAGGATCATTAGGAAATCGAAAGGCCTGTCAAGAAGGCCAGGTGTTTCCGTTGTCAGTTCTGCAGATGGATCAACATTGATCCCGAGATAGAAGTCTCCGAAAAGGAGGCCCCTGAGATAATCTTTGGATCATTGCTCTAGAGGAGACGAGAACCTTACGTAGTAAGATAGTAAAGGCCGACAAGACTATGTTCGAAGTCAGGATGACTGGTATGCGGTGGTTCGAAGAAGAAGATGAACCTATCTGGGCAAGTCTGAAGGACGAGGAACCAGATGGGCGGCAATGGCTGGCAGTCCCGGACATACGCACAACAGTCCCCCACCTATGGTTTTTCCACCCATACCAGAAAGAGCAATCCCGCACTTGAAACCATTATATGTTAACGCTCACATCTGTAGTAAGCCGATTAACAAGGTTTTTATTGACAATGGAGCTATCTTCAACGTTATGCCTCTCAAAACCTTGAAGAAATTGGGGAAAGGAGTTGGTGATCTGTCTCCAGTTGATATCGAGATGACAAGCTTCACAGGGCAGCCAACGAAACCAGAGGGGATGATGGTGGCCCCTATTGAGGTGGGACTGAAGGTGATTTCAACTTTGTTCTTTGTGGTGGATGCTAACACCACTTACTCGGTCCTGTTGGGGCGAGCTTGGATTCACGCTTTCAAGTACGTGCCCTCTTCTCTCCATCAACAGATCATGTTCTGGAAAGGGAATCAAGTGTTCAAAATGGATGCCAGCACTAATCCGTTCGGCTCCACAGAGATGGTGGAAGAATCCGTACTTTATTCTGAGTATGTACCTCCGATCTCACAGACAGCTGTGGTAGATGAGTATCCCTAGAAGAGCTGTAAGCTCACTGCGCAGGAGTATGTTTTTCATTAGAAACATTTTTCTCTATTATGGCTCTGTTGTTAGCCAAAAACATTAAATTTATTAAAGTTTAATTATGGAAGAGATAGGCGAATATGACTCGTTGATTAGGCAGTTTTATTTAAACCAATTAATGGTTAGACCACATGGCAAGGAAAGTTCCAGCAATAATGTTAATGAAGGAGAAGACTTTCGCTGGCCTGACCTTCTGGAGAAAACAGAACCTTTCTTGTCAACTCAGGATCCGCTCATTGAATACAATGTAGGAACTGAACAGATACCCAAGATGGTCAGGGTTAGTGGTTTGGTATCTAAAAACCAACATGAGCAAATGGTGATGGTAATTCGGGACCATATGAGTGTTTGGCACGGGATTATTCCAAAATGTCCGAATGGGCACGCGATTTAATAGAACATAGGTTGCTCATTAAAAAGGAGTTCAAGCCGTATAAGCAACCACCAAGAAGGATTAGTCTAGAGCTACTTCCGAAAATCAAAGAAGAAATTGAGAAATTGTTGAAAGTAGGGTTTATTCGACCCTGCCGGTATACAGAATGGTTAGCCAATATTGTCCCGGTAACCAAGAAGAATTGAAAGATTTGGATCTGCATTGACTTCAGAGATCTCAATCTGGCTTCCCCTAAAGATGAGTATGTAATGACCATAACTGATATGTTAATTGACTCAGCGGTGGGACACCGAATTTTGAGCTTGATGGACGGGTATGCAGAGTATAATAAGATCTCGCTGGCAGAAGAAGATATACCGAAAACCGCATTCAGGTGTCCAAGGGCTTTAGGGATCTATGAATGGACGGTTATGCCGTTCAGGTTAAAGAATGCTGGAGCAACCTACCAACGGGCAATGAATACTATCTTTCACGATTTGATTGGGCAGTCAATGGAGGTATACATTGATGATGTGATCATTAAGTCTGCTGACTTTGATACACATCTAATTGACCTGAGAAATGCTTTCCTATGGATGAAGCAATACAACCTTAAGATAAACCCAACGAAATGCACCTTTGGAGTTTCGGTAGGAAATTTCCTGGGTATTTTAGTGCATGAAAGGGGGATAGAGGTTAATGCAAACAAAACTAAAGCTGTTTCAACAATGCACCACCCTCGGTCGGTTAAAGAAGTGCAAAGTTTGTTGGGTAAAGTAAATTACCTGAGGAGGTACATATCAAATGCCGCAGGAAAGTTAAAACCTATCACAAGGTTGCTGAAGAATAAAGCAACTAATTTTTCTTGGGGTCCGGAGCAGCAGGAGACATTAGAAGAAATTAAGCAGGTATTAATAAAACCATCCGTGTTGGTTCCCCCAAGAGAAGACTGACCCCTTAGACTGTATGTGGCAAACAGTTTCGATATGGTAAGTAGTTTGCTGGCACAAGAATGGGAGTTGAATTATACCATGCCCAAAAAAATGTGTTACTCTTTAGCGAGAGGAGGAGGCAAGTTGTTGAGCGAGAAAAACCAATGTGTAGGGTTTTCGAGAATGAGCTTGTAAATTGGGCCATGGATTGGTATATGATTCGATAGGTCTGTCAATTGTATTAAGGCCCAACGATCAAGGCATTACTACTAAATGGGCTTCTTTGAGAGGACCTTCGACTAGGTGGTCGGTTGATACGGAGGTCGGGCAAAGGAAAATGAGACAGTAGGCGTTTAGGTCGGTTGGTGTGGAGGTCGGACAAAGGGAAATCGGGTGAATGAAGATAAGGCGGTGGTGTTTAGGCTAGTCGATACGGAGGTCGGATAAGTGGAAGTCGGGTGAAGGAAGATGAGGCGGTGGATGTTCAGGTCGGTTGATTAAATAGGGCGGTTGAATAGCAGTTTTGGAGCGGTTGGAAGAAGTTACAACCAATGAGCTGATGTGGAGGCACGACCGGATAACGACATTGGGGTGGTTGACATGGGTTTTTAAATAGGCCTTTTCACGACCTGAAAAGAGGCATCTTCAATCGACATCAAATTCAGTGAATTTTCTTTTGGGGATCATCCTTTTACTTTTCCAGTCCTTAGTGTTCTTTTCAATTTCCTTATGTATCATACGGTGTCTAGGGATTTTCAATTTCAGGCATCTTTTTGATCAAATTCGAAAATAATTTCTTTTTCGGATTTTACTTTTTTATTGTTGAAAATCTGCATCAACAATTCTATATATTTTAAATACTTACTATCTATGAATCTTAGGATTTGTTTATTTTCTGTTTTGGTTTGAAGACATTTTTTTATATAAAGTATAAAAAATTTTGTAGATAATATTAATATAATAAGAGTGTATAATATATTAATTTTTGTAGTAAAATATGTTGAAAATTTTTCACAAAGCAAACAAACTCTTATTCTATAGAAAATAAAATTAAATAAATTTTAAAAAATAATGGTTTAGGTACGCACACTAATCTTTATTGTTATATTATAATATTGTTTTTCTACCAAAAGATTTATATTAAATATACAGGTAGATATTTACACAATTTTGTATATATTGTTTTTTCATATTTACAAATAGTTTTATTTTTTAACTTTAAAATGTGAAAATAAATAAATATAAATATAATTTTATTAAAAAATAGTTAATTTAATTTTTTAAAAAACCAATAAAAATAAATACGGTCATTTTTTTTCTTATTCAATAATTTTAATTATAATAAAACACCTATAAAGTAAAGATATAAAATACGAAATTATTCGAACACACATCTAAACACTCATGTATATACTGGATTAACACTCTTGTATATACCCCTACTGATAGAGGTTGTGCTTTCACGAAGTGCCTTAATGGTCTCCTTTGTAGGGAGATTGACTGATACGAATCACATTCAAAGATACCTGCACCTATACATATAATACTTAAGTAACCACCAATTATACATTGATTTTCGGTGTTTGTACCCTGATGATATTGTTACATATATGCACTAAAGATATATCCACGTGTAATTTTTACGTATCTGCAAGATGAAGTCATATGCTCCACTAATGCGTATGCATGCCCGGGTTATCTATGGTTGGAAAATGGGCCGTGTTTAGTTCAAAATATTTAATTTCTCTTAGTCATCAGTTATAAATTTATCATTATTGTGTTCCCACGACTCTCTGAACTGTAAGTAAAGAAAAAAATCACATGTTTACTATAGATGACTAAACAAGTCATAAATGACGTGGATAACTTTGTTGGTTGTTACTTATGTACACTACTCTCACAAATTGGTTATTTTTTTAAACATATTATATGTAATCCACACCGTAGCACACACAACAACATTTAGTCCACCAAGGCTAAAAGAGAGAGTGCTCTCACCGAGTATGCGAATTGGCCCATCTCTGTGGAAATGACTAAAATTAACTACATTTAAAGTTACCTGATAATATACAAATAATACCTGAAATATCATTATCAATACCTCGCATGCGGTGTTTGTACCTAGATTACATTCCTAAGTATTGTTGGACCACAAGTCCAAAATGACTTGAATGTCGAAGATAGTGACTTCTATCAGGCTGTGGAGCTTCCATAGAGCAAGAAGATGTGACTTCCATAGACCTTCGGACGAGAAGCTCCATCAACCCTGAATCGGCAACCTCATAATGTCAATGGAAGACCATGGTACCTATAGGTCCTATATGGAAGGTCCTAGGGGTCAAAATGGAAGGAATAAGAATGAGGATTCCATGTAACTCAAGGCTGTCGGGAACATATTCCCATAGACCGGCTAGGAGTATGATGGAAACGAATTAGGGTAGTCTGCAGGTCTGATCTGGAGGCAATGGAAGAAATTCAGAGAGAATGGAATTTGGTCCAGGAACGATGGAAGACGCTCAAGACGAATGGAACTCGGACCAGAGGCAATGGAAGCCGCTGGGAACTGATGGAAGGAGGTTACTTGGTGGTTAAGAGAGATAGAAAGAAGTGGGAATAATTTGTAACCACCCCTGTTAGTGGGAGAAGTGGTTATTCTAGTTTAGCATTACAAGTAGGAAAAAGAAACACAACACACACACACAACAGAACAAATCGCATCTTCTCATATTTTTCTTCCTTGTTTTTATTTTCGTTTATGCAATTTAATTCCGATTATATACTTTCTGCAATTTATTTACACGCTTTCCGAAGTTAGTCATAGTTTAGTTTAGTAATCGCGTGAAATGCGCATTGCCCGACGACGGATTGGCTCTCTGGAGTACTTCCGGAACCTACGCCGACGAAATCGACGAGCTATTTTGGAATTCCGAATCGCTGGATCGAACAATTGGCACGCCCAATGGGACCAAGTCGGGTTCGTATTCGTGTATGCAACTTCGCAGTGGTAAAGTGATCGCCATGGACAATCAGAATCAGGGTGCAGGATTTATTGGAACTGGAACGCCGGTTCATCCCAGTGGAAGCCGCATCCCAGGGCTGAGGAGAGATGAGGAATCGTCGTCGACCGAGACGATGGTGACCATGGTGCGCAGAGAAGTGAATCAGTGTATTCAGGCCGGAATCGGAGACATCGCATATGAAACTTCCAGGAAATTGGCTGATGTGATCCGGCCAACTGTAAGGAATGAAGCATTTCAGATTCGCGAAGAAGAACGCCGAGCAGCGGCTAGTGGAATCCAAAATTCTGGAATTTCAAGAAACACATATGGAGGACCGAGAGGGGTAACTCCATCTGCTGGAGGGATTCCACCTCTCACAGGAAATGTCGGTTCTAACTTGGTTCGGGGAAACACTGGATCGCCTAGGGGACCAACGGGTGGAGCAGGATTGCAATTCGGTAATGTGACGATTCTCCAACGCCCGCAAGGAGGGCAACCCAGCGGAGTCTGTGGCCCTCAAATGGTGGGCGGACAAGATGTCGCAGGAAGCGGCATCTACAGAGTCCCTTCAGGAACAGGGTTGCCAGGGCAGGTCGCAGGACAGCCTGCTTGGAACGCACCTCCACCGCCGTGGGCGCAGTAGGCTCCTTA